CTTTGACCTCATCACAAGACTGCTGACCCATCCACACACTTCACCAGTGTCATTTTCAACCCTGAAGATAGATGGATCAATCCCGCCAACAGCACCCCACTCATCCTACCATGTGGCTTCACTAATCCACTCCAGGCCACTCTCTTGACACCAACCATCACCTCGGTCAACCAACCCTACCAACAACACCCTTACACTTAATCACTTCCCTTACCCACAGCAACTAAAGAACCACATATCAACAATTTTGTCACTCTTTCACACTACTATATATATATTCTGAAAATTGATCAATATACACTATTGAAATTTTAATCTTTGTTTGTTTTTTCCTTTGCATCCATTTGCTCATTATAACAACTAGTGTTGGAAGCATGTAACAAGGGAAATGGATTATTCAGGTCTTACCTCAACCTTATCAGGGAACAGAAATCAGCATTATAAAAAATTAGATCTGGGACAACATGTCCAGATGAGGTGCTGCTGAATGAAATACAAGCAGACCTAAACATGTTGGCCACCCTGAATTCTGCCAACACAGTAACCACATTCACAACCCATGATGTGGCATGAGGAATATAAAAACTTTCAACCCTGGGAACGATATGAATCATTTCATGACCAATATAAGCAAGACCTAGATTCCCAGCATGATACATCTAGCTTTGAACAATTGAAAACTAGGTACTACCACTTTTTCACAGAAAAACAACATAACATAACATAATGAAAAAGGGCACAAACTTAATAAAAACAAAGTTTTATTGTCAAAATGTTCATGTTATTATTAAGATGAAAACCCAAAGTATTTTTTTTTTATTTTTTGAAATTTTTACTCTTTTGTAGCATGTTCAAAATTTTGGTTAAATATCTTGTTTTGTTCATGTCATCAGGGGTGGGTGTGTAATAATTACGATGACTTTTTTGCACTTTTTTCCAGTTAAAACACATTGATTTGGAAATTCTTGCAAAAATCAAATAATTTTCAGATTTTAATGAAATTTTCAGGATTTATTCATACATGAATGAAATTATTTTTTAAATTTTTTGTTTTAGAAAATTTTAGTAAAAAATATTTTTTTACATATGTTACCTCCCACTTAATTAATTTCATGAAATTTTGCGAAATACCTTTCTATTTCCTGAATTTTTGTTATTAGTTAAAAGTAGGACTCCTTGGAGAATGTAAATCATTTTTTTTTTCAAATTTTTACCATTCTAACTGAAAATCTGCTCCAAATAGTAAACTAAAAAATTTAATCAAACTATGACATAATTTAATTAGAAAAGCTTTAACTGCTTTTGTAAATAAGTTATATAAAGGACACTATTGTCTGAAGAAATAAAATTTTTTTTATGAATAATGAATTTTTACAAGAATATTTTTAAAATTTTAATAATTTATAATAGTTTAAAAATCGCTTAAAATTCTGTAATTGCACTATTTCTTGGATGTGATATTGTAATTAAGTGAAAACAAAACTTACAAAACAAAAATTAAAAAGATTAATAAACGTAGTTTTACCATTCTATTTTTGAAATAATTTTTTATTTTTTAACTTAATTCATCCCCATTTTTTCATCTAATTAGGCTAGACATATCATTAATATGAAAAGGTCATGTCATCTAAGAGTTTTGTCGCTTTACAGAGAAATTCGCTAATCTGCAATTTGTTCATTAGTATTTATGTTTCAACAGGTTTTCAACTTCATCCCTTCAGCTTTAAAAGTTTAAAATTTAAAGTAAGTTTTACTTTTTTCAATTACTATTTCGGTAAATATTTTTATTTTATGGACTTTTATTAATGTGGGTCATACTTCAATTGAGTAATTTTTTTAAAACATTTTTAAGAAAAAATTTTTTTTTGTTACTAATTTTTTTACTTTTTTCAGTTTATTGTTTCTAATTTTTTTGATAAAGACATTTAATTTTAAAACTAATGTTTAATAAATTTAAATTATTTTAAAACTTTATTTCATTCATATTTGAAATCAGTTTTCTCATTTTTTTATTAATTTTGAATAGTTTTCTTTTTATATTTTTTACAATTTTTGAAAGAAAATATAAAAAATGTTTTTTAGTTTATGTTAAAAGTTTATTAATTATTAATCATTAAAGAATATTTTAACTATTAAAAAATTTCCAAATCAAGGTCTTAGATTTCATAAATTTATGTAATTTTTGGCCATTCATACTAGCTGTCACTGCCTCATAAGTTCTCAATACATCAATCATCACCTCAGAAAAACAGGACCAATCGTTAAGAAATGCTTGTATATTACATTTTTAATAATATTTATTTCAAATCAGATTAATTTAACTTTAAATTTGCTAATTTTATTCAAATGTGTCACAAATATATATTTTATTTTTGGAAGACTTTTAAAACCTATAATTTGTTTTGTTTACAAATTTCTTAAAATTGAGAAAATGGCTACTTTTAAGAAAATTAAAAAAAATCGTGCAAATATTTGACATCCCAATCTATATAATTTCTATCTGAAATACACCAGAATATTCTATTCAATTAAAGCTAAAATGAAATCTTCAAGAAAGCTTTCTCATTTTTAAAAATTTATGTTAAAACTTAGGTATCGAAAATTTATGCCAAAAAAGTGGAGGTACCTACTGAAAACCTAACTTGTAGCCACTTAACAGCAGCCAGATGACAAACTTCCATCATCTTTGTCAAGCTTGGGACCTACAACAGCAAGATGGTGTGAAATTGACAGATTTCACTAGCCAACTTGAAAACACCATCAAAAAGGCTGCTGTCCACATAAAGACCAAATTCAAGGCAGACACCACTTCCAAAATATCCACTGACACAGTCTTCTTACTCATGAGTGCAATGTTAATGAGTAAGAAAGTCAAAACCTGGACACCAAATAAATACCATCAGTTAGTCAAAACAATGGACAGCCACTATACAGCGGGTGGCATAGCAAGTGATGCCAAATGGTAACTGTGATATCAAATCAAATGAGACAACCAGCAACAGCACCATTGTATATTACACATGCAAACCACAACAATCAAATCAATCTAAGAAAGTGCTAGCCTACTCAAGGCAGTCAGTACAAGAACTAGCAGGCAGCTGACCCACTTGAAAGTGCAAAAAAAGCCCACACGATGCAAAATTCATCTTCAACTGAAAGTACAATCAGACATGCTGAAATTTTAATTAAAATCGGGAAACCAGTATATGCAGAAACTATACAATGGGCTGCATGTTTTCATGTATGAAACTGCTCATATTGACACCCACCTCTCATCTAGGCTCACATCACTGCAACAGAAGATGAAATACCCACTAACAACACTTTTTCCCTTATCAACAATCTGGATTTTCAGTATGGGCCAGATAATATGTGATGTCTTGTCCCTCAGCCCACTACACTCACCTATTCAGTCCCCTACAACTTCTATTCCTATGTCCCCATTCATCAGAATAACTTTCACTGTCAAAGGCACCACCTTTTCCAATGTAGCAATACTAGAATCTGGATGCTCCACCTCCATTATGTCAATCTTTTCACTGCCCAAATACACAAGGAAACAGATGAGCCATTCTGACGTCCATGTGAAGGGCATCAATAACAGCATCAACTTCCTTGGTGAACTAAATTGTGATATTGCAATCATGATTAACCCATTTTCATGTGTTGGTGACAGCCTCCACTGTAGCAATTCTGATCAGTCAAAGCATCCTCAGCCACAACACACTCAACTCATATTTAATCAACAACCATAACACAACAGTTGAATTCAGACTCATGCTTGTATCTGGTTGTATAACACATAGAGCCATGAAAATACCAGCTTCAAAACATGAGACATCTACCCACATCCTTGCATATGAGAGACCAAAGCCCAGCATCCAAACACTAAGTCAGAAACTGAACTGGCTGAAACAAAACCTGGGCTTACTATTACACAATCCCCCAATCCTCGGTACCAAAAGCAGCAAAACAAGCCCCTTCATCAGACCTGTTCATATACTGACCAATGGCCAGTACCACAGCCAAAAGCAACACCCAATTGCCCAGGCTCTAGAAGCCAACCATAAACTAGATTTCAAATTGAATAAACTCATGTACAAAACTTTTAAATTCTGTCACTCCTTCACACAACTATGTATATATTCTGAAAATTGATGAATTCATGTGGTAGAATTTGAATCTTTGTTCTTTCCTTTGCAACCATATGCTCATTTTTATATTTTCTGCTCCTGGCAAGACTTCTTCAAGAATCATGATTCTCAAAATGACAATGATACCAGAATTGTACTGTAAATATTTTTCCAATTTGAAACCAAAGCTATTCTATCATAAAAAGTCTCTGATTTGTCCAAATAATGTTGGAAATTGATAAGTAAATATTATGATCCTGTTAAACTTTGTTCTAGGTTAATTTTTATTTTAAAAATAACATTTTCTTGAATGCACATTTGTAGAAAGTGTATAACCAATTAAACATATAAAGGAAGGTGTCTGACAGTGAGATTTTACATTAAAACAAATCATTTCTCTGTTAGAGTCTGTCCTCAAGGACACATGGCACAGTGGATAAAGGCGTTGGTTAGATCCAGTGACAGGCCCAAAGAAGGTGAGTTCAATACCTGGTTAAGGCAGTGGAAAACTTTCAGAGGGAAAATTAGCAGGAGATAACTGACATCCATCAAACATGGCACGTGGAACTAGAACAGTCTACCCCAGTGATCGAAATAAAGGGTTCAGTTTGAAATTCCAACCACCTGAAGAAGGCCAGAGCATATAACGGCCGAAACGTTGTGACAAATATGGCGACAAAGATGAGGACAATAGTCTGACTAATGTAAATACTGTACATTTCTCTGTTAATATTCATTTTCTATCCACCAAAAAACAAGAAACAAAAGTTTAAAAATTGACACCAAAAGAGAAACTAAACCCAGCTTTCTTTTGAATGATTTTTAGTTTCAACTGAAGATTCTATGAGGAAAAAAAACCCAACTCACCCTTAACCTGGCCTGGAGATTGCTGGAAAAAGAAGAGATGATTTGATTGGATAAAATTCAGCTAATAAAAACTCTTCATCATCTTCTCCTCTGAATCTTAGTCTTTTTAAGACAATAGTTAAATTATACTCTTTATTCATATGATTATTAAAGAAATAACAATATTAATTTAGTTTGTTGATAATAGAGGAGTGACCCTTCTCTAGCAGATAAATTTAAGTTATAAAGCTTAAAAGCAGCTGCTGAAAAAACATACATGTTCATTAATATTCAACAGGAATTATGTTTTGTTAATATTTTTCACATTTTTCTTAGAATACTTTGAATGAAAGTGACATTTATTGCCTCTTAGTATAAATATATAGAGAGAAATATGACAGAATTAAATAGACATTTTGATTTTCAAAGAATTAAATAATATTTTACGATGCAAATCCAAATTTAGTTACTTTGTCATGTTATGAGATTCACTTGATGATGGGAATCATTTAATAGATTTTTGTAGTCTAGAATGGAATTCTATTCTTCATAAGAGTGACAGTTTTGTTCCAATATTCTTCAGTCATTACTGAAAAAAAAAGTTACACTTGTAAAACAAATATGTACTTTTGTAGATTTACTCATACATTCATGACATTTTGCTTAACCCATGTTCCAAATTGTTCCCTCACACCGTATCACAAATTCCACTCTATTTGATAGTGGACTGCAGGTAGTTCAAAGAAATTTTTTTTTATTAATCAATCACTCAATACATGGATGGAATGTGACAATAGGAACTGGCTATGATTAGAACACAATTGGAAGACATGGACCCTAAATGATTTTGATCTGAATTGGGTTTTAGAATTGTGTAGACAGTAAACTCTAGAAACAAGATTTCCAAAGTTGCCACCATTGTAAGCAAGTCCACAAGTAATCCAAAGAGAAATAAAAAGATAAATAAAAACTTTTGAGATTAAGTGCCACTTGATCAGAAGTTTGGAAGTTCCAGTCGCAGACTTATATAAGCAGAGTCATAATTATAGTTCCAAGCTGCCTGTTAGGAAATTGCAAACTGTGTGTTGTGATGTAGAGATGGGCAGAGGAGTATTAGGAGAGAATTGGAATTCTTGTTGACCAAAGGGAAGATTTGGTTTGTTAGTCTGTCAAGACAGAAGGAGCAAAATCATACAAAGTGTCACCTACCTACCCCACAAGTGAATCCCTGAATAAATAACTAAATATATTGGAAACAGGGTTCATTTTTTTGTTTTTTGCTGTAGCATTAATTCCACCTTTCATTTTCTTGTGAATGTACACAGCAGCTCTTGCCAGTTTTTGCACATACTAATGCAAACGAGAATCAAAATACAATGTCGGGTGATTTGTCAAGCCTGTGAAAGACTGAGAGAGGGTGGTTGCCGTATACATTTACATGAAAAGTGTGTAAACAAGAACTCCTCTGAAAAATGACATGGACCAGAATGAAAACAGTCTGACTAAATATCATGATTATTTCTTGTTTTCTCTCCTGAAATTTGACAAATTTAAAGAAATTGTTTTTTTTTTTTGCTGCTCTGCCGTAACAACATATGCAATGAAGATAGTGTACAGAAAGTTTTAATAAGTTTAGAACAAGGCCACTAGTCAGGATCAAACTCAGAGCACTAGCAATTATCAAAAAGAACTAGTTTACAGGAAGAGTACAAACTGATGAAAATGTTCTAAATGAACATAATTGTTCATAAGAGCTGTGAGAAAATATTGAAAATAAAAGAAAGCAGAATGCCTGGTTGATACAAAGAATAAAACAATAAGTTATTTTGAAGAAGTTTATTTGGAAATAGAAAATCTGAAATGCTAAGTAATAAGAAAATCAATTCAAGTGATAGCAAATAAAAATTTTACACATAGATTAAAGCATTTTGCATTCAATACAGAATTATAAAAATATGTATTTTCAAATTAGGAGCTTTCTTCTTTTTAAATGAGACAAAGTGCAGAAGTAAATAATGCAAGAATGAAAATAAAAAACTATGGATGCACCTAGAATATTTGGCCACAATTTTTAAAGACATCATTGTTAACTATTGTTTATTGTAACTGGTATAATCAGTTATACCCACTCTCCCCAAATTAATGGACTGTTTCTATCAACGGTGGCAGTAGCAGGAGTATAGACTTTGTCCCCTCCTGCCAAAGTGGATTGGGTCATTAGATACTATTTAAACTGCTGTGATTTCTCTCTTGGAACTTTGACTTGCCTAGAAAACCACTGACATATTTAAACCAGAACTGTATTCTTATCAATCATAATTCTATTTCAGAACTGTTTCTATACAATTCACATAAATTTATCCCCTAAAATTTGTCAACCTAAATGATTATGGTTGTTTTTTCAATACAATTAATTTTTCTGTTTTCTTATTTGGTAATAACTATTTTTTTTTTTTTTTTTTTTTAAGCATTTCACCCCAAGCAAGGCGGGGAGCCACTAGGGCCTTAAGGGGTTACAGAAAATAGGAAGATCAGATAGGAGTGATAGAAGAAAGAATGAGGGTAGTAGATAGATTAAGGCAACTGGAGATGTTGATTGACATTACACTTGAATAGCTGGAGATTATAACTCTCAGGGAAACAGGAGAAGGGAAGAGAGTTCCACAGGCGAGAGGTGCGAGACATGAAGCTATTAGAGTAGAAGAGACGGCTACATTTATGAGTTTCAACAGTGAAGGGGTGAGAGCGGGATGCCAGCCTCGTAGGGCGCTTGAACTCATGAAGTTTGGGAACCAGCGAATGCAGTTCCTCGGAGCAATTTCCATGAAAGTATTTGTAGAACAGACAGAGGGAGGCGACGGTGCGTCTGTGAGAAAGTGACTGTAGACGAGACGCCAGGGCAGGGCCAACCATATTGCATATCCGCTTCTGGAGCCTATCAAGAACCCCGAGGCAAACAGAAGGTGCGCCAGACCATATATGGCAGCAATACTCCATGCAAGGGCGAATTGTGGATTTGTATATCTGGAGGATCGACTCAGGGGAGAAAAACTTCCTAGCACGGCTCAGGGAGCCAACTTTCCTCGCAGTGGACGAAGGCAATTGACTCGATGTATTTATTCCATCTCAGGTCAGCAGTCAACGTGAGACCGAAGGCCGCAGAGAGTTGCTCTTGGGAAGTTGAGCGTCAGACATTATAATGGAGGGAAGGGAAGGCTTTCTGTGGTGATTAATAGAGAGCAGTTTTGTCTTCAAAGCATTGAAGTTGACCAGCCAAATCATGCCCCAGTTCACAATCGATTGGAGGTCCTTTTCGAGGCGCACGGCAAGGTGAGTTTTGTCAGCGAGGCAGGATTTGTTTTTGAGGCAGGAATAAATTGTAGTGTCATCCGCGTAGATGCCGACTTGAGAGATTACGGCGTCAGGAAGGTCATTTATATAGATAAGGAATAGAGTGGGGCCTAGGATGGAGCCTTGAGGAACACCTGCGTTCGTGGGGTAGGAACTGGAGGAGAATCCGTTGTGAACGACCTTCAATTCACGGTTTGACAGGAATGATTGTATTACATTTATATAATTGACCCGTAATGCCATAACCCTGGATCTTGCGGAGAAGGCGGCGTGCCAAACCCTATCAAATGCTTTGGAGATATCTAGTGCCACGTCTCGGGCTTCCCCGTTATTTTGGAGCAATTAAAAGACTGTTTCCGTGATGGAACAAACATCGGCTGTAGATCTGGCAAAGCGGAAACCATATTGCTTGTTATAGATTATTGGATGTGAGGTGGTTAACCACCCGGTATTGATTAGAGCTTTGAAGATTTTGCGAAAGGGGAAGAGACTGATAGGACGGGGGTTGGAAGGGTCAGAGGGTCGCCGGAGTTCTTGAAGACAGGAACGATCGAAGAGGACTTCCAGCAGTCAGGAAAACAAGATTCCTTGAGGCAGTAGTTGTATAGTTTGAAAGGGCGGGCGCCAGTTCAGGCGCATTTCTTTAAGACAATGGCTGGTATCCCATCTCCACCACTCGCCTTGTTGGGATCTAAATTGGAGATAACGCCCAGTACCAAGGTTGGGGTTATGTTTAACCCACTCAATATGGCCTCAGTTCTAAGAGGAAGTTGGGTATGGGTACACCAGAAGAGTCGAGTGTCAAGTTGGATGAAAATTTCGAGCAAAGCATTCAGCCTTGTCGGTAGAGGAGGTCAAGACTTCGAACTGGTTGAATAGAGGAGGTATAGAGGGTTTGCAATTATTCAATACACTCTTGCAGAGACGCCAATAATCTTTGGAGCCAAATTTGCGAGATGCAATACGTTCCTTCATTCGAGCCGCAAATAGTGACTTAGCATCATTTAGGATACGCTTACAATCGTTACGGGCGGCGGCAAAGAGACGTCTATATACTTTTAATATTTTTCTACAACATGAATCAACACAAGGAAAGTTCAAAATAAAGCATAACATTAAAACAATTGAATTATATTTTTAAATTATTTGTGAAAGTTAATTGCTTTCCAACATTCAATTTGATAACATAGTTTGCAGGTGCCTCAGTTTATCAGCCCACTCATCATTGTCATTAATTTATTACTTGCTGAACATTTTCAAAGTTAAAATATATGCAGGATTAATGAATTGGTTGGTTGAATTTGTTTAGCGGCATATCAACACATCTATGGGTTATTTAATGCTGAGATCTAAATATCCTACACACAATTTTATGCTTTCAACTACAGATACCTTGTATCTAATTTTTATACTCTCAGGGTAACAGTACATGTTTTAGAAATATATTATAGTCATAAAATGTTTTCTTGGTAATTTTACTATAAAAATGTATTTTTATATTTTTTTAGGGTTGCATTGATTATCATTTTGCTATAAAAATGTATTCTTGGTCATTTTATTATAAAAATGTATTCTTGGTCATTTTATTATAAAAATGTATTCTTGGTCATTTTATTATAAAAATGTACTGTTGTTGATTTTTGTTTTGGCTTCACTATTTTCTCATAGCTGTGACCATAACAGGTGCTACTA